TGTGTGTGTGTGTGTGTATGTGTGTGTGTGTGTGTTTGTATGTGGAAGCCAGAGCTCAGCCTTTGGTGTCACTCCTTGGGCGTCATTGGCTTTGTTTCCTGAGATCCGGTCTCTTACTGTTACCCGGGGTTGGCTCATCAGGCCACATTGGCCTGAAAGCTCCAGGGATCCACGGGTCTCTGTCCACCCAGCTCTGACTGGGAATATATGTGCATGCCATCAGGACAGATTTTAAAAAGTTTATTATTTTTTTAATTTTATATATGTGATTTGTTAGGTGACTGAGATGCCTATTAACAACCATAACAGATGCCGGCTGCCAGATTCTCCCAGCAAGGCAGTTACCTGCTGCAGGGTCCTTGCTCTTCCCAGCACTGCTCACTCCCAGGCCCAGCCTAAAGTCTCCAGCCCCTGAGATTCCCTTCCCTCAGCTTCTCTTCTCTATGGAACTTAGTCATTTTGGCTATGTGCTCTCTCGGTCTCTTGGCTCCTGGTTCCTCTCTTGGTCTCCTTCTCTCTCCTTTCCTCTTCCTTCCTCATACTCCCCACCTCTTTCTCCTCTCATGGCTCGGTTCAGTCTGGGCCCTTCCATAGCCTTTGTCTGTTTTCTCCTTTCATCCATGATAAAAACCTTCTCCTCAACCATACCTAGGAACAGCCATGTCTTCATTTTTCATTCATGTTTTGCCTATATGTAAATATACCATGTGCATCTGGTGGTGGCCAGAGGGGACATCAGCTTTCCTCTGGAACTGGAGGTACAGACAGTTGTTAGCCTCCATGACTGAGAACCAGACCCGAGGCCTCTGCATGGGCAGTAAGTGCCATTCTCCAGGCCCCTGATCCAGCTTTTTATGTAGCTTCTGGGGACTGCTCAGGCCATCATTGCTCTGAGGCGAGCGCTTTACTGACTGAGCTATTTCCCCAGCGTGGCAGAGCAGGCTCTGATACGGAAAAATTGTCTAAATTCTGTCAATCATATTTTAATAAAACGCTGATTGGCCAGGCAGGCAGTATAGGCAAAAAAACCAGACAGAAAGTAGAGGTGATACAATGAGAACAGGAAAATTCTGGGAAGCAAAAAAACTCCCTCGCCATTCCTGTACAGACCACCAAAGAGACAAC